CCGCAACACGACTGGTAGCCACTTACAACTGTGGCTAGCAGTGTTCTTCTTGGTGAAGAGACCCCTATCTCTATATGACATCAACGCTTTGGTCATGCACGTTCAATAATTATCTGTCGCATCATTAGTACTTTTTTATTACACCTGTCACATAAGTCTTTACTATTTTTACTTCCTGCCAAGTCGACAAAAGGCATCAATTATCAATTTGTCCTAGTAATAATATTACTCAACATCCATTGGTTATGTTTTACTCTGATGCTTAGGGTCCTCCTTTTAATTCAGTTTATGGTGCCAACTATTATATTCATTTTGTTGATGGTTTTAGTAGATTTACATGGATTTTCCATTAAAATGTAATTCTAACATTTCAACCGTATTTCTTGTTAAGACAAAGTTCGAACAATAGCTCTTGTTTGAGTAATAATAAACTCTTATTTGGTACTAATATTTATTTGAGATGATATAGTACAGATAAACACAAGTATAAGAAGTGTACAAGGCGAAACGATATGAAAATTAGTTTAAATGCTGATTTCAACCACCTCACCATCAATTGTGGCCCTAGATCATTGATGGTAGGTTGAGCTCATCAATGACAAATATGTGTCATCGATGATTTTCACTCTAGAGACTTTTACATCATTAATAGGCCTTTCAACTATCGATGGGACCTTGATACCATCAATGGTTGAGAGCCACCGTCGACGGTAAACATAACAAAGGTGCAGCTTTTTAGATCTAATTTCATCCATTTGTTGTATTATATAGCTTCAATTTCAATCTAGTTTAGGATTTTCCTTACCTATTAAGGAACTTATATCATTGAGAGAGAGAGAGAGAGAGAGAGAGAGAGAGAGAGAGAGAGAGAGAGAGAGAGAGAGAGAGAGAGAGAGAGAGAGAGAGAGAGAGAGAGAGAGAGAATTATATTGAAGGATTTAATCATCAGAGAAAACTCTTACTTGTCGTGCACAACATCTCTGAATCATTTGAAGGAGGAGAGTTGCCTTGTATTCACCAAGCTATGCTTGAAATTCACCAGATGATGGTTTGTTTAACAAAAGAGTTATTTTCTAAGCTTTAACTTTGGTTGTTTGATTTTGTTTTGAACTTGTTCTTATGGCATACTCAAGCTGGTTTTGGAATTGAGGGTTCGGACTAGTTAGGACTAGAAATTACTTATTGTAGAGAGTTAGGTTAGACGATTAGTTTCGGGTAGATTTCCGGGCGCGGTCTTGTAAACATACTGAATTGAGTTTGTGATTCAGGAGAACTCTTTGCATAATGAAAAAGCCACTTAGTAAGAAAAAAGAGTGAACATATGATTGTTATCTGAACCATGATAAAATCTCATGCGTTCATGGTTGGTTGCTATTTGTGTTCGGTCATCATTGATTGCTTTTATTTTACCTATTCCGTTGCATATTTTGTGTTTTTAGCAAAAAAAAAAAAGATAGAGATCCTATTCACCCTCCCCTCTAGGCTTGCATATCACAACAAAGAAGTGATATCAGAGCCTCGTTACCCACCTTTATGATTCACAACATTAGGTAGAGATGTCTAGTTTAACTGCCAACAGATTTTCCTAAGGGACATGTAGTCAATCAACCGCCACTTTTTAATGTGACAGATTATACCTATTGGAACACGCATAAAAGTTTTTTTATTCACTGATTTTGATGTTTGGATTAGTGTAGAGAATAGCTATAGTGAACCTGCTACTATTGTAGGTGATACTACTATTGTCACTCGTAGGTCGTAAAATTTGATTCTGAATTTGTATTAATTGAAATTGTATTACAAATCAATAAATCACTTTTTACATAGAAGTGAAGATAATTAATTTGATCTCTTTTTGTTTAACGTGGGTTCTTTGGTAGCGATATGATGCCTCCCTCGATGCTCGTGCCGAGTTTGCTTCCATTGGACGATTTGAACGAGATTGCGGGCAAGTTTCAACATGTGGTAGAAACTTAAGATGAAGAGTTCGATCACCCGAGCTTGAAGTCAAGGCCGAATGCTCAAGAGACAAAATTTGGTTCTTTTATCTTCCAAAAGACCGGTTGCCAAAAAAGTTCCAGCAAGATGTCAAGAATGCGATCTCAAAGATGATCCAAAATTAAGATTAGTCCGAGCCCCCTTAAAAAAGCTAGCCTCCTCTCATGTAGCCGAATATGGCTATTTATAACCAATGAGAGTCATGGCCAATCCTTTAAATTGTGGGAAGTGACCATTCTCATAATTATAGTTGAGGAGGACCATAACCATTCCCTTAAATCATGGGAAGTGACTATTTCCATAATTATAGCTGAGGAGAACCATACCCAAATCCCTCAAATCGTGAGAAGTAGTTTTAACCACTCAGGCGAGCTAGCAGGTGAGCTAGGCGAGCTAACATGCAGGTTGAATGCTCAGGCGAGCTTACAGGCGAGCTAGGCGAGCTTGCGAGGTTGTCAGGCGAACCTCAGAAGTGTTCAGGCGAGCTTAAACCTTGTTGGCGAGCTTGGTTCGTGCGGGCGAACCTCCTGTAGGTGACCTTAGCTTGTGCGGGCGAGCTAGGCATGCAGGCGAGCTAATTTACAACCTGGTGAACTGAACGTTCAGGTGAGCTCAATTCCATCTGGGTGAAGTCCACTACGCAGGCGAACTTTACTTTGCCTACGAAGTCAAGCATTCGGGCGAGCTTGACTTAGCTCGTTTTGATGCAGACGAACAAGCCAAATAGGCTTTGTTCTTGTGATCTTGGGCATGCAGGCGAAGTCTTGTAGGCGAACTTCTCAATTTTAGGATAAAAGCAAATTTTATTGCCTACATCACTCCCACAAACAAGTGTATCGCTCCTGTTAAAAAGCTTTATTCTTTAAATACAAAAGCCATGAATGTTTTATTGTTCTTTAGCTACTGAGGTGACTTTAGCTTGCAAGGTTGGTGTCGACCACCTAGCCTCACTGCTCCCTCCTACCTCATGCCCAGTGCCTGATCGCCTTTACCCTCCCCGTGTCTCTTGCTGTCTCGACCTCCTAAAGGAGATCGAGGTAAGTGGAGGGGAGTTGGAATTGGCGTTAGACAACCATGACGACGAGTCGGAGGCTGCCCCTAGAGAGGACCCTACCGCTTCTACTTCTGCTGCTCCTGCCCCTACTAAGGATCTCCCAAGCCCTACTCCCGGATCTGGCCGGGAGATCTAATGACTTGTATCTCTTTTTGTTTTCTTGTGTTTGTAATTATCGACATACCTTGTTGTAAATAGACATGGATACTGTAAATGAAGCTTGTAATAAACTTTGAATGTTGGAATAAAGATTAACTTTACCCTCATTCTGGAGTCTGCCTCTAATTGTTCCTTGCTTTTAGCTTTGTAACTTAATTTGTTCTGACTTTGCTGAGAGAACAAGTGTTGATTGTTGTGGGTCGGCCGCGTTGTGTTGACCTGAGTGTTAGAGGGGTCGAGACGAATGGCTCGTTTCACACCTCGTGGGCGAGATGTTTGGGTCCTTTATCAGCGGAGACTGGCAAATTGAAGTACCTAAGTCTTTTTGCTGAAGACGACCAAACAGCTGAACTTCATGCCATGGGTTTATTCGAGATGACACCAAGGGCTTAGGGCACATGCCTTGGACTTATTGAGGGTGCCAAAGTCTTCTCAACAAAGTGACAACCCTGAGATTGGGTGCCCAGGACTTACGTAGATGCCT